TGGGAACACCCTTCTCAAATAGCAAACACCTTGCCATATTCATCACGTACATGTTCTTCCTCTCACAAACTCCATTCCGTCGTGGAGAGTATGGGACGGTAAGTTCGGTGATGGATTCCGACTTTTGACGAAATTCTTCAAACCGATTTGATGTATATTCCGTCCCGTTATCAAACCTTAGAGTCTTGATTTGAAATCTAGATTGCTTCTCCACCATTGCTTTAAAATTCAAGAACATGCCAAACACTTCGACTTCGCTTCGTAAAATAAACCCAACACATTCTATTAAAGTCATCAATGAATAATAAGAAATATCTCGCTACTCGTGAGTGAGGGTGTCCTCATGGGACCACACACATTAGAATGAACCAGCTGAAGCTTTATAGAAGCTCTTCGAGCTTGATTTGCAGCGAATTGAAGCCTTGTTTGCTTCCCAAATTGACACACACCACACACTTCGAATTTTCACTCACAGTAGGCATATCAATAGCCAACTCATTCCTTTGCATTTGTTTTAGAACAACATAATTAAAGTGGCCTAGCCTTTTATGCCATAAAACAGATTCATCAACAACCGTAGTAAAGGCTTTTATTTCAGCATTTTTTCATTGAATAGGAAAGCATCTCTTGTTCATTTTAACAGAGAAAAGCTTGGCTCCTTTAGGATCAAACACATCACGAGCTTTGTTTTTAAACACCAAAGAATAATCATTTTCAAGCAATTGACCCCCACTCAGCAAGTTTTGATCTAAATTAGGAACTAGAAGAACTTCGAGAATTAGTCTAGTACTCGAAGATGTATCCATAGTAATCACACCCTTGCTCGTGATTTTCAAGTAAGTTCCATCACCAATCTTAACCGTTGAAGTGTAGCTCCTATCTAGCTCCTTGAACATGCCAGGATTAGGTGTCATATGATTTATGCAAGCACTATCTAGTAGCCAAACTCCGGGATTTGTGGTGATAGCATAGCAAGTTACAACAAACAACTTCTCCTCCTCGTTCTTGATGGACTTCAAGCAACTTGAGCTTCGCTGATTCAACAACTGCTCGATTTATTTTTGCATAACTTCTCAACATGACCAAATTGATGGCATGATCTGCATTGAACTCCTTGTTTGTACCAGCAATATTTCCTTATATGATTCCTCTTGTCGTAGTGAGAGCAAGGAGGAAACTTCTCCCGTTTTCCTTTAGACTTGCTTGCTCCGAGTATCTTTCTTGTCTTTGTCACTTTTATCACTTTGTTGCTTCTTCGAACCAGAATTGGAATGAGCCTTACCTTTGTTCCGAGCAAATAAAGCTCTTTCAGAATGCTCATCCCGCTCGATCAGCCTTCTATGTTCGGTAGCTTACAATGAGTTAACAAGCTCGACAAAGTAATGCTTGACAAATCCTCGAATCTTTAAGAGATGAAATTTTGGCTTCAAACTTCTCGTGTAGGCTAACAAGCACCTTTTCCACAACCCTTTTATCCGGCACGTCCTCTCCCATCAATCTAATTTGGTTCACCACCTTCATGAGTTTGTTAGAAAATTCCTTGATTGACTCTGAATCCTTCATTCTCAAGGATTCAAATTCTCTTCCGAGATTGAGAACTTGCATCCGCCTTGTTCTCTCACTACCACCGAACTCCTCCTCGAGCCTATCCCATACATCTTTTCCAGTTTCACAAGTCATTATTCTTGTGAAGATTGTTTCAAATATAGCGACTTGGATGCATGAAAGTGCCTTGTATTGTTTTGAAACCTCCTCATTGTATTGCTTGATTTGAGCCACGGTGGGATTTGCTCTCAAGGGTTCGGGGTTTCTACCGATTTCGGTGACCTCCCATAGTTCATAGGCTTTCAAATAGGTTCTCATTTTTGCAGCCCAAATTTCATAATTTTCTCCCGTGAAAACAGAAGAAAATGGAATTGTAAAATTAGTGGAAGCCATCACTTGAAACTCACAAACTCTCGGGTCTTTTGGTGAAGGTTGCCTTTCCGGTTTTCTCTCAAGAAAAACTCTCACAGCCCCTCAAAGATCAAATGAATGCTCCGATACCACTATTAACCAAATGCAAAAAAATATGGCAAAAGCACAAGGGAAAGAGAAGCAAAACAGAGGTGAAAAATGGAGCTCCTCCGCACGTGCATTCCTTTCATTCAAATTTATAAATGTGCTGTACAGAGGTTATGGAGTTGGTAAACTAATCCTAACTTTAAGGAGATTTGTCTTCATATTTAGTTCCTAAAAGTAAGCTCCACCACAAAAGCAAAATTCTAGAACATTTTCTATATAAAAAATACAACAAAAGGTTACACAAAATTTGTTGACAGCTCTTGTGTCAGCCTACTGTCAACAGAATGATATTGTTGTCATTACTGAATTGCCATTAGTTGATGCCGATGGTAATGCGAAGACTGCTCGCATTGTAATTTTAGCTAGAAGACTGGTGAAGAGACATAATAAACCTGTTGTGCAGGGTTTGATTCAGTGGTCCAACTTGCCAGAAGAAGAAGCTACATGGAAGGATATTAAGTTCATTCAGTCACAGATTACAGGCTTTAACACTGATTAATATCCTTGAGGATAATGATAGTTTGAAGGGGATGGAATTGTTAAGAGTCTTCAAAATTGCCCATTTGTGGTCTGTGTGTTTGATACATTCAAGTAGTACAAGATTATACTATCTCAAGTGCATTAAGATAGCTTTAAATGAGAAAAATGAAAATCATAGTATCTTCAAGGATTCTGGAACAAATTGACGCAAAAGCTGAACTCTGTCTGCTTGTCTAAGTTGACCACTGAAGTGGCAGATCAAACCCATAATTCCTGTAGATTGAAATTTAAGGCAGAGTCATTATCGATAGACATAATCATTGGATAGCAAGTGATGATTTACAACCTGATTAGTGTACCTGCTATAAAGCTTCTCTATATATCGGCAGCCATTTCCACAGCCCTTTCTGACAACGCACATACTGTTGAGGATGTTGCGGAGAAGTTCATTTCCAGTGATCTTGTAGGAGAATACAGGAAAGGCTTTGGTGGAGTTTGCAAGAATTGAAGACTGCCTTCTAACATCTCCACCACCTTCGTCATTGAGGGTCTGTCTAACGGATTGGTTTGAACGCACTATAAACCCACCATAACCATCTTTTTTACTGTCTCTTTTGATTCATCTGTTATAACCCCATGAAGACTAGATACTTCTTCGGATTCATACGTAAAATTTGGAAAGAATATTTCACTGCTTTGAGATGCTCCAATATCAATGTTTTCTCTTCCTCCAACCAGTTCAAGAACCATCATCCCATAGCTATACACATCAGGCTTGTAAGAAACTCCTCCAAAGTTTCTGCAGAATACTTCTGGAGCTATATACCCTGCAGTCCCTCTTGCACCAGTCAATGAAACATTACTTTCCTTTCTCTTGCAGAGCTTTGCGAGACCAAAATCAGAGATCTTTGGGCAGAAATCTTTATCTAAGAGAATGTTGTGAGGTTTTATGTCAAAATGCACAATCCTAGTGTTACAATCTCTATGTAAGTACTCTAGACCTCTAGCAATGCCTACGGAAATTTCATATAATGTTTCCCATTGTAAATTATGGTTTCCATGCAGAGAACTTCGATGATATATGAACTTGTCTAAAGATCCATTTGGCATGTATTCGTAGATCAAAGCCCTTTTAGTCCTTTCAAAGCAAAATCCCAAAAGAGTAACTATGTTAACATGGGAGGTTCTACTAATGCTCACAACCTCATTAATAAACTCTTCTCCATCACCTTTGGAATTCTTTAGGACTTTTACTGCCACAGGATGGCCATCTGGTAGCTCTCCTTCGTACACAGCACCAAATCCCCCTTGACCCAGGTTATTGATAAATGAGTTGGTCATTTTTCTGATTTCTGAATATGTATAGCGTTTCGGAGTAAGAGAATGCGAGTTCATAATGATCGTCTCAATGTTTACGTTATGTTGAGCATTCTGCCTCCAAAAGCTTGTCGTCTTGGCTCTAGAAAATCCTCATCTAGAGCACAGCACAATGAGAGTGACTGCAATCGTCGTATATATGGCTAGTGTTATGACTGAAATAAGAGAATCATATTACATTCACGTTAAGTTTTATCTTCTTTGCTTAACAAGAGACGGTAGATATTAGCAAGATTTGAGAAATAAATGCTCATCGATCCAATAGTAGAAGAAAAGAAGGGTATTTGATGGTCGTATTACCTTTGATGAGTTATATTCCCATCTGTAAGACCCTGTAAGACAAACATCAAATAGCTGAGTTTCTTGGCATATTAAACATGAAATTACCCATGACAGACATGTGAAATGTTAAGTTTTTTTCTTTTATAACGAGATATCAAATCATATCAACACTCAATAGTTCCAGCTACAAAGAAAACAGAATCAAATACAATCACTCTCCCAAGCCAAAGCCAGCCACGCAAGACAGAACAGAGAATCTTGTTACTGCTACAGGAGTAAATTAAAACACAAAAACTAAGCTCCTTGAAATGAAATTTAAGGTTCCAAGTAGGTTATTAATGAAGTCATTTGGCCCTGTTTCAAAAGATTAAGGATCCATCTTATGAAAAATTTAGGTAAAGGAAGCTATTTTGGTTGCACAATCAAACCATCAGCCGAAAGAAGAACAAAGTTATGAATTTCTTAGCATTCACAATTCAACAGGTTTTGTTACTTTTCCCTGCAGATAAAACAAGTTAAAAGACTTTTTTTGATAATTTTTAAAATACATATGCTTGTGACAAGGAGTAATAAAAACTATGTGAAGGCAAAGCAAACTCTTACATGTTGATTATCTTCGTTAAAAATTCGGTAGGGAGTAATAAAAACTATGTGAAGACAAAATTGTGCTATATTTTACATACAGCCACATATTATATAAGGTCATATTGATTATATTAACCAAGAGGAAGGGGTTATGAAGTTTCTTTCAAACAAATTTATGGAAGCCATCCGACCTATTCATGGCTAATTTTTCTCTACATCAGTACAGCTAATCTTCTTTCACCAAAAAATACAATAAAATAAAAGTGGCAGGACGTACCTTTCTCACAAGTGGTTGCATTTGCATACGACTGATCTCGACAGTAGCAAGTGAATTTACTGGTATCAGTATCGTATCCACACTGCCCACCAGAAAATTTACATTTGTTGCACAAGGAATCATTTGCAGTCCACTGCAACCAAAAACCTTGAGCAAGAGCTGCAATCAAATTTTCTGCTGTTGGATGGCTCTCTATAGGCCGAACAGCAGATTCATATGCTGGAACGATTATGCTATAATTACAAGACTCCAAGTACCTGCTTATGTTGGCAGCAAAGCTATCAATTGCTGACATGTTCAGGGTTCTTGTGAGATAATAACCTACCATATCAGCTCTGCTTATGCTGCAATTGAACTGGTTGGATAGCCCAAAGGTTGGTAAAAATTGACTTGGAATTGTTGGACATGCATAGTACAGAGTTATATTCTTAGTATTTGAAGCATAACTGAAATGGTTGAGATCAAAAGTGGAGTTGATGGGGAGGATAGGACAAATGCTGTCCTTGTAATCTTTTCTAGCAACCTTCAGGATTCGTGACATATTTTTTATCTCAAGGACTTGGTAGGCCAGTTCCGATATTGTAATCACTGGGGTGTTACCACTGCAATCAAGGCGGAATCCTGGATGGCCACAGTATTGAGGACGAGTCAGTCCCCAGAAAGGGTAGGTAACACCCTGAATGTTTCCGCATTCAAATGAACTGCTGCAACTTAGATATCGCCCATCAGGTTCACCTAGAGATATTGGCTTTGGAATAATGATAACGGTAAGGACCGTGAGAGATAAAGAGATGGTTTGAAAGAGATGTGGATGCATTTCTGGAGATGGAAATGCGCTGCAGGTATAGAACTCTTGAATTAAACCTGTGAAAACAGATGGAGCTAACCAGCTTTTATTGATCATAAACATAAGATAATATGATGTCTTGACTCTTGACCAAATTAATGACTTGGTCTGAAATCAGAAGTTTCCTGATCATTCACTGGCGATGCTAATTAATGAGAATAATATAAGACTCATTTTCTTTAGACTTTTAGAATTCTTTTTGTGTGAAATGTGTCAGATTCACTTATCTATGATTAACTATTCTGATAGAATAAGTAAATCGAGCAAGAAAGCCTAGCTTTGCGAAATCACTCTTTCCTACCGAGCAACTTGTGGTCTAGTTGGGAAAAAAGTGTTCTGATTAAATATTCCTCAACATCCTCGTCAACATTTCGGTCAAAAAAAGAATGTTAAACCTTGGGAAAGAATTTACTCAATTACTAAATAAATTTCAATGACATAAACAATACCATACTCAGTTATTTTGACCATGTTCTGAGTTGATAAAAAATTATATAAAAGAAGGCAGTCATTTTCCAGTGTCATCTTGACAAAAGACAATAAAACACAGAAAGCTTATGCTATGTATGTAGTCAACCAAATTAATTGTTTTCTCCCAATGAATAATAAATTTGTCGAGCAAAAAACACCAGGTAAATGATGCTGACTGGAAGCTTGTTGTATTGAGAGAAACTTATGTTACCTTCTGCTTCTGCTGTTCTGCTATTTCTACACTGTCATTATTTTTCTCAGGCTCTGTCACCTTTCCTATCCTCTAACGTTGCTTTATGCTCTACTTTGCAAATAATATTCTGAGCGCTCCATTTGTTTGAGTGCTGGATCGTAGAAAGGATTTATTATCTCTGAGTTCTGGATTAATCTTAAATACAATAAAGCTTCAGCTCTGTCTTCTTATCTATGATTTAAAACTAGAAAAACGATGGCATTAAAATGGAGATCAAGATTACAGTTCTGAAGATCGACCTTTAAGAATAACAAAAATAATTAGTAGTTTGGTACAAAAAATCATGGGAAATCAAATAGATAGTTACTGTTTGAACAAGTATTTATTACAAAGATCCTTCATCTACTGACATGATCTCAATCCTCATCCCTCTGTTAGAATGTGCATAGTGTTGAAAGTGTTGAATATAGTTGCATTTCAGGTGACCTTGTAGGGAATATAGGACTTTCACAGATCAAAGCTCTTTTAGTCCTCTCACAGCAAAATCCCTGTCTACTTCATTAATAAATTATTCTCCCAGTTATTTCTGGGAGAGCATATGAAGCTAAATAGCCTTTGTTCATAATAAATGATAAGATAATCTGATCTTTTGACCAAATAATGACTGTCTGAGAGGAGAAGGTTTATTTATACTCCTTCATCCGAAGTACCAATGAAAACGATAGACTGTTATTTTCATCATGACTGGAAATTGTCAAATTCGTTTTCACTATCATTAACCATCTTAATCTACAAAAGTCAATTGATCTGGAATGAATAGGTTTACAAAATCACTCTTTACTGAAGAGCAACTTTTGGTCTTGTGGTATAAAAATGTGTTTTTTTTTTTTTTTTTTCATGCAAGCTGACAACTCAGTTTCCTGTCTTGCCATTCTCTATCCTGGAACTTGGCTATCGAATTTACTGGACGGGAAAAACCACTCTTCCTTCGTTTCTCACCTGCTTAACATAACTTATTTTATTGATGCCATGCATGGTAGATAAAAACAAAAACAAACAATAAAAATCTCCACACAATTTCGCAGACGAAACACTTTTTGATCTGAGCTCGGGCATTGGCTTTATATGCAAGCAATGTATTCAAACCAGCCACTTGAACAGAATTCAGGTCAACAATCCTTAAATATTCAGTCAAAAGAAAGAAGGAAAATTTAGTTTTTGAGAAAGAATTAACTCGATTAATGTATATTACTGCTAATGGCATAAATAATATAATCAGTCACATGGGATGCTCCTGATTGAAGAAGAATAGCCCTTTTTTAGTGTCATCTTATCAAATGACACGAAACAAGTAAAAATTAATAATTTTACCAACAAATTTGGAGAGATATAAAATCCTGGAATATGAGACTGAGACTTGAAACTTCTTATTATGGTGACTAAGTCGGCTGGTTTGGTTCTCCACTGGTTATGTTGTGCTCTTGTTGATTATACATACCTTTAGTTTTCTGTCATTTCTAATCTGCATCCAGTCCCCACCTCTTTTATTCCTACATTTCCTACTTTTACTGATCTGAAAAATGATATTCAGTGAAATAAAAGCTACATACAGAGTACTCTGTTTGTTTATATATATTTATATATATCTTTCACAGTTCTAATAAATATTTTTAGCCATTACTTGTCTTATTAAGGAAATTCTTTCATTTTTTTTTCAAATAAAATGTCGTGTGTCGCTTGAATTTATGGGCCAATAATATTTAGTCAATTAGGTTTTTTTCCTTTATAGATATGAGGTATTTAAACCTCTTTATTTCTCTCGTTTAAAAAATAGAATGAAAGACAGAGACTTTGTATTGATCCTCCAAAGTTCTTGTATTCTCCTCGCTATCAAGCTAATAAAACTTCCTTTTTATCTATGGAGTAAGCAATTTGTCGAACCACATAAATCCTATATGTTGATAATTTATTTAGCTTTATCTTTTGATTATCTTTTGCCATTACTTATCTTATTTTTGATGTTTGTCATAACAAACTAGTGTCGAGCACGTATTGTACATCTTTGGGCTTTTTTATTTGTAATGGCAGCTTTGAAATTTGATATTTTACCTTTTGATGATCAAAATAATTTTGGCTTATGGAGAATAAAGATGAAAGCTTTGTTACGACACGAAGGCTCTTTCAAGGCAATTGAAGATATATACCCGGATGACATGTCTTCCGTCGAAATTGAAGAGATGGATGAGAAGGCTCATAGTGCTTTACAATTATCATTGTTAGACAAGATACTATGAGAAGTTACGGATGAAGAGACGACGACGACACTATGGCGAAGTTATAAAGCCCGTACATGAAGAAATATCTTATAACAAGATTGTATTTGAAGCAACATCTTTATAAACTAAAGATGCGAGAATGTACGTTTATTTAAGAATATCTTGATGAATTCAATAAGATTGTTATGGATATGAAAAATCTTGATATTAAATTTGATAAGAAAGATCAATCTCTTATTGTATTGTGTTCATTATCAGTTTCGTATGAGAATTTTGTTAATTCAATATTGTATGGTAGAGAGTCCATAACTTTAAAGGATGTTAAGGCCTCTTTGAATTCTATTGAGCTGAGATATAAGCTAAATGGTAAAGTCATTGATAGCCAGTGCTAATGATTTGCTAGTAATAGGGAAGACAAAAGGATAAAGAGGGTTACAAAGGAAGACCCAAATTTTGTTTTAAGTTTAGATCACTCTCAAATAAGAAAAATAATATTGAGTGCTACTTCTATCATAAGAAAGAACATTAAAAATTAGATTGTTCTACTTTGAAGAAGAAGAAGAAATCGTAGGGTCAAAGTTTTGAGTTTGTTAATGTGGCGAAGGCTACTAATACCGATGTCACCGAACGTATTTTTGCCGCATGTCCTTTAGATGATCATTTTGATCAAGAGTGATTTTGGATATAGGCATTTTTAATCATATGTGTCCAAATAAAGAGTGGTTTACTACTTATGAACTCGTAAGTGGTGGCTTTCTTCGACGGCAACAATTTAGCTTGTGAGATGATTGGTATTGGTGCAATTCGTATCGTGTGTCATGATTCGATTGTGAGGACTTTGACTGAAGTAAGACTTATACGAGATTTGAAAAAAAATCTAATTTCTTTAAGTTATCTAGATTCAAGAGGTTATGACTATTCTAATAAAAGTGAAATTCTTAAGGTTTATAAGAATTCTTTAGTTATGATGAAAGCAACTCAAATTAATCATCTCTATATGTTACAAGGTAGTATGGTAATAAGTTTTGTATGGGGTGATTACTTCCTACTTTGAAAAGAAAAAGACTCAATTGTGGCATATATGTCTGGCCACATTAGTGAGAGAGGTATGACTACTCTTAGTAAACATGATTTGCTTTGTGGTGATCAAATGATATTACTTGATTTCTATGAGCATTATGTCTTAGGAAAGCAAACTAGAGTATAGTTCTCTATTAGCACTCATTCTACAAAGGACTTACTTGATTACTAAGCTTGAGATTAATCCAAGTGTGACATACTTGGATTTATATTAAGGAAAAACCCTAGCTACAAGTATGGAGGAGGAAGAAGAAGGAAGGCTTACACCATTAGAGCTTTCAAGTAACCTAAATGAGAGGATACACCAAGTAAAGAGGAAACTACCCAATTACCAATGTAAACAATTTTAGTGAGCCTAGAAACACTCTAAATCAACTTCCAAACTAGCTTAGAGGATCAAGCTAGGAGAGGAAAATATTCTTCAACATGGCCAAAATACTTAGAGGAGAGGAGGAGAAAGGAACTAAGGAAGAAAAGAGCAAGAGAGGCCAAATTCCAACCGAGGTAAGCATAATTCCTCACTACACCATAAGAAATTAATGCCTTTGATGTGTGATTGGTGTTAATTTAATATTTATTTGATTAAGCTTTAATGAATGCGCTGGTCAAGAATTGCTTTATGAGAATTGAATTGAAGTGATTTGATGATGCATGTGAACTAATGATGTGTTAATTATGATGTTTGAATGATTAGATGGAATGAATTCATATGTTTTAATGTTGTCCTTATTCTAAGAACAAGGTGGTTGGAATGACTTAAGGCATGTATAAATTGATGGTTACATTGCTTGATGCCTACATAATGCTTGATGAAATATGGTAGAGGTGTTCATGAGGTTAAATTAAAGGAATTGAAATTTGGTAACCTCATGGTTAATTTTGGCCAAGTAAAAGGTTTTGATTGATTAGTAAAGTGACCCTACTTAATGGTTAAATAATGAGAAACATGATAGACAAAAAGGTTTATATGAGGTTTAGAGGTATAAATGATATAAAAATGATCATATTCATATGAAGAATGATTGTTCATGTTGCTTATTATA